TTTCTTCGGTAATAGAGGACTGCAGTATTGTACAGGAATGAAAAAATTTCTCAACAGCCTAAGCACGAATTTTTCCAAGTATTGAGCGTATGCAAGTCACAAGGATCATGGCCACAGTAAATCGTTAGTGAGAAATCATTCACGATATGTGACTGTAACAGAGCCTTTTTCTGACAGTATAAATGAACACTCAGAAGTCAAGAAGTTAGATACTTAGAGAATCAACGAGTAACCGTTCCTTGAGCCGGCTGACTCACCAGTCGGGTTCTCCTCGTCAATATCTTCAGCCATGCCACAAAGACAACGATAATTTTGAGCTGATAGATCCCCTTTCACTTCCGTCTCGTCCGGTATCTGTAAGTGCAATCGTACGGCCACTGCTTGTTCTCTGCAATTGCTGGGGCGTGCCAGAGGAGCTGGGTTCAGAGCCACGCCAGCCCACTTGCCACCAGTTGTTGTCGCTTGCCCTTTTCAACAACCGGCAGAGAACAGGCTTGTGCCGCGCTAAACCCAGCCGCCCTTACACCCCCAGTATACGGTGCAAACAAGACTGTGTATTATCTATTGAGAATATTACCTACTGAGAATGTTCCTGCTGCGAAACTTTTGTCAACCCTGGGCTGTTACACTATGCTACGAATGAGGACTTACCGCAACACACTCTGATGATTTTCCGCATGGATTTCTCGCACACGGATCATAGATCTCACACTGTTCACCGACATATCCAGGACGGCAGCTTAATAGAACATCAAGGGATAACATGCATGAAATGTGTTACAAAAATATGATTTTTTTTGTACGAAAACAGAGGAGTATGGCAGTTTCTACATTTATCCAAAATTACGATCCGCGATATGAAGCTATTAGGTTGTCCGGAAAGGAATGCGCGTTGAATTTTTTGAACTTGTCCATTTTTTTCTCTCCTACTATAGAAGATTTTTGGAGACAGTTTTGTCTAAAGAGATTTTTATTGTGCTTCTTTTGATATATTTTTGTCCATGTCTACTTTGCTTTTTTTGGGGAAAAAAAGTTGGGAAGAGCGGGTGCCGCACCAGCTGAGCGACGCAAACAAGGCAACACGAGTGGCAATGGCCGGAATTCTTCTTCGTCGCTCCAAGAACAGCGGTTTTTTCGACTCTATTATTACATCAAATGAGAAAAGGGTCTGCTTCGATAACGCAACGAGAAAAGGACAGTGGTTAGACTCCAGTGACCCTCCAAAACGGACTCCGAAACCTGATATACGCGGCAAAAAGGTGATGCTCCGTGTTTGGTGGAATAGCAAAGGTTTGATGTACTTTGAAGTTCCGGAATCGGGTCAGACGGTTACGGCGGACATCTGCAAACACCAGTTGAACCGCATGGATATGGATCCAGCACTGCGTCTTCAAAGTGTCGAAACGACGTCGACAAAATTTATCCACGACAACGCTCATCCACATGTGGCGAAAATCACTCTAGAAAAAAATTGAGGAATTGGGCTGGAAAGTCCTCATCCGCCACACAGATCAGACCTGGCACCATCGATTACCATCTGTTCGGTCGATGCAGAACTCCCTGGCCGAGAGAAAATTCACAAACCGCGAAAAAGGTCCAACTCTGGGTGTCCAACTTCTTTTTGAGTCGCAGCCTGGCCGAAGGTGTTCAGAAGAGAATCCATTTTTTTTTTAATGTTGACAACAAGTCATTGATACTAATGGAGATTGTCTTTTGAATTTATCTTGTTTAATTTCGTTTTTATAATAAAAAATTTTTTAAGCTCGAACGCGCATTCCTTTCCAGCAACACTAGCAGAGGCGATGATGAAAGGTGGAAGAGAAGTTACCGGAAGGGTTAGTCAGTTTGAAGAGCAAATTGTGAAAGGGACATTCCGAACCATAATCGAACGTTCCTGATTACGCTTCCACTAATCTCGAAGTAACTGTGCGGGAGCACAAGGTGAAAAGATGTCGTCTTGAGATAAGCTCAGTCAGCTCAGTCAGCTCTCATAATGTCTTCTATCATCCTAGCTTATTTAGCTTACAACGCTCCGCCGCGAACCTGACACAAGCTTTACATTGCAGGCCTTACCTCCCTTTCCAGCAAGCACATGCATTTTCATGGGTAAATTTTACGTCCTCAAAAAACCTTTGATCTGAGGCCAAACACTCTACTAAGAGGAACGAAAAATAAACACAATTTCCGTAGAACGAAAGATGTGATTCGGAAGCTGAGCTGATTGTACTGTGCCTTTCAAAAGTGTGGTCCATTCCTCCTGTGGATGGGCTCAGGATATTCGGATTGTAGAAGGACTGCTAGAATAGTGTTGGATGTAACCGCCGGTGACCTAGCTTCTGTGTACACGTACGTCGTATCTCCTTTCTTCGGTTCAGTAGAAACAATCTTGACACATCTTGTGGAGAAATTATTCACTATCACTAAGGTAAGCTAAATGTCAAGCTTTCGAAGCAACACTGACATTGGTCGCGAATCCTGAGCGTTTTTCCAGTGTATTTTATAAATCTTATTTCTAAGCACTTTCTCTAAACCAGTCATTTAGGTAAAGAAGCATCATAAGTTCGATAACCAAAAACGTACTCGCACAGGGCGATTCCTTCAGGAGCTGTGCAGACCCCGTTGTTAAGACTCGTGAGAGGGATTTGGGTGTTTTGTTCTTGAGGTTTCGACGTGCAACGATTAATGCGGGTGAGACCGCCCTGTTTTTCGATGGCTGTTGGATCACATGCGTCATTCCGCCGGTACTGAAATAACAAAAGTCAGGAATTTGCAGGTTCTTCCACGGTGGCTTGCGCAGATTTGCAGAGTATCGTTCGGCAAACCGAGCTTACGTTAGCCGCAAATTCTGTGCTGGAAAATACGGTGGAATTTCAAACCTCACAGAAACGTCCGCTTTCTACACCTTTGCACTCACAGAATGGAACCAGATACAGCTTTCCAGACGCAACTGAATAGTTTTGTTTGCGCATACGTAGAACAACAAAAACATTACCTTGTGTAGATTGAGCTTCGCTCTTAAAGACAGCCCCCGCGATCAAAGTGGCTCGTGGTCGCCTTTGCTGTGCAAGTAGTCTAGCCTCCAAGCTAGAAGATGTTCACCTTTCGCGACTCTATTGTGAGCGTGGAGGCTGCTATAGCCGCTCAAAGTGCTAGTTCTAACTCCTCCTCAGTCGGACCGCCTTTACTTGCTAGATGTCTTCCGACGGAGGCCACCACTTGTTCTTAGTTGGGGCGGCGGGCATTGCTAATGCCCCTGGATAATTCTGCTCTCCTTCATTACAGTTTACTCATTGGAGGTATATACATTCAATTCAACCCATTTCGCGAGGTGAAACGCGTAAAAACACGAGTGACGCAATTTTCGTGATGCAAAACCACGACGCACAAAAGGTGCGCTACCGTAATCACAAATTCAGACACCGCGCG